ATACATTTTAATCTATTATTTGTCTGTAGGTGGAAGGCATCGTATACAATCAAATAAATTTCTCATATATGTCTATAGCATAGGAGCTATTTGCAATTTTCTCAATCTATCCACCACTTTCGTTAAGTTCATCAACTTGAACTTACATTAATAATAGCAATAATAAGTAATGTAAATTGTTTACCAAGTATATGTGTACGTACTTATCTTCAAGTCACACCGTTTATGCTACGGTAATGGATTGCGTCCATCAGCTCGATTCTAATAGAAAAAAGTGTTCTAAAGTAAATATAATTTCTAAATTCTCTGACTAATACAATTCGGTTGAAATATAAAAACACACCAAAGGAAGATACTTCCTACATTGAAGCGAATCTAACGCGGCTTCATAGACTGAACGACTTATAAACAATGACACGTCCACATTAGTATCCGCTACCGATTTGAGAGGTGATTATAATGCTTGCGTATCGTGTACGGACATGTAAGTAGTAAACACTTCATTCTACATATATTAATTACAACACAATAAGAACAGAAGTTAATTAAATCGCATTGAAAAATCACAGCGGTCACTGTAATGTAAAGGTATGAATGATCACACTAATAGTTGATATTCTGGTAATTGATTTGATTCAATAATTTATTAGCACAACTCCGCCTGGAGTCCCTCTGGAGGATTCTGCCGGCCCCAAGCCCGGATAAAGGAGGAGGGTTAGGCATGCGGTTAGCGACCCCATCCCGTAGAAAACTAACTCGCTAAAAAAGCGCTAACCAGAAAAAGTTATTCAAACCAATTAAACTCTGCCCTGGGAGTCAGAAGGTCTTCATTTAGAAGAGTTATGAAGCCCCATGGTAAAAGCCGAGTTCCTACGGAAGCCACGAGAACGATGCCCCCTCTAACAACCAGAGCAACCATTTATTTAGGTACATGGAACGCTCGTACAATGTGGGACACCGGGAGAGCCTTCCAAAATGCTGCAGAAATGAGGAGATACAACCTAGAGGTGCTTGGCATCAGTGAAACACTTTGGACGCAAGTCGGAAAACGAAGATTAGCTTCACGGGAGCTTCTGTTATACTCCGGCCATGAAGAAGAAAATGCCCCACATACACAAGGAGTCGCATTGGTGCCGTCCAAACAAGCACAAAATGCGTTTATAGGACGGGAATCTCATGGATCAAGGATCATCAAAGCCTCCTTCAAAACAAAGAAAGAGGGCATTTCAATGAACATCATCCAATGCTATGCACCTACCAACGATTACAATGAAGACGCTAAAGATCAATTCTACAATAGGCTACAGTCAATCGTCAAGAAGTGTCAACAATAGACCTGACCATTCTGATGGGAGATTTCAACGCCAAGGTTGGAACGGACAACACTGGATGTGAAGATATCATGGGACGACACGGACTGGGAGAAAGAAACGAAAATGGCGAGAGATTTGCAAACCTATATGCTTTCAATAGGCGGCACCATATTTCCACATAAGCGCATTCATAAAACACATGGACTTCACCGGATCACGCCACGCAAAACCAAATCGACCATATCTGTATCAACAATAAGTTCAGGAGGACAATGGAGGATGTGAGAATCAAGAGAGGAGCTTATATAGCATCAGATCATCACTTGCTGGTCGCCAAGATGAAATTGAAACTCAAGAAGCACCGGACAATGAGGCGGACAATATCACAAAATTTCAATACGGCCTTTATTCAAGATACTAACATACTCAACGAATTCAAGATAGTCCTCAGTAATAGGTTCCAGGCCTTTCATGATCTACTCAATGGAGAGGGAACTACTGTGGAGAGCAACTGGATGAGGATCAAAGAAGCAATCACTTCAACATGCCATGAGGTTCTGGGCCACAAGAAGCACCATCACAAGGAACGGATCACTGTTGATACACTGGATACGATTCAAGAAAGGAGGAACAAGAAGGCAGCAATCAATAACAGCCGAACAAGAGCAGAGAAAACCAAGGCACAAGCTGAATACACAGAACTAAACAAGCAGGTGAAAAGGAGCATCAGAACTGACAAACGTAAATATGTGGAGGATATAGCAATGACGGCGGAAAAAGCTGCAAAAGAAGGAAACATGAGACAGTTGTATGACACGACAAAGAAACTCTCTGAAAATCACCAGTGAAAAGCAAGGACGGCAAGGTAATCACCAATATTGAAGAACAACGAAAAATGTGGGTAGAACACTTCAAAGAACTCTTGAATCGACCAGCTCCACTGAACCCACCCAATATTGAAGCTGCACCCACGGACCTCCCAATCAATGTTGGTCCACCAACAATTGAAGAAATCAGCATGGTCATCAGACAAATCAAGAGTCGCAAAGCAGCAGGACCAGACAACATATCAGTAGAGGCACTGAAAGCAGACGTAGCGGCAAGTGCAAGGATACTCCACATTCTCTTCAATAAGATTTCGGATGAGAAACAAGTACCAAGAGACTGGAAAGAAGGACTCCTGATCAAAATACCTTAGAAAGGCGATCTCAGAAACTGTGATAGCTACAGGGGCATCACTCTTCTCTCAATACCGGGAAACGTCTTCAACAGGGTATTGTTAAACAGGATGAAGGATTCCGTAGACGCCCAACTTCGAGACCAACAGGCAGGATTCCGTAAGGATCGATCGTGTACAGATCAAATCGCAACTCTACGGATCATTGTGGAACAATCAATTGAATGGAATTCATCACTCTACATCAAATTCATTGACTACGAAAAGGCATTTGATAGCGTGGACAGGACAACACTACGGAAGCTTGTTCGACACTACGGCGTACCTGAGAAGATAGTCAATATCACACGGAATTCCTATGATGGATTAAAATGCAAAACTATGCATGAAAGACAGTTGACAAACTCGTTCGAGGTAAAGACCGGTGTCAGGTAAGGTTGCTTACTCTCACCCTTTCTCTTTCTCCTGGTGATCGACTGGATCATGAAGACGTCAACGTCTGAAGGGAAACGCGGGATACAGTGGACATCTAGGATGCAGTTGGACTATCTAGACTTCACAGATGATCTGGCCCTCCTATCGCAATCGCGACAACAAATGCAGGAGAAAACGACCAGTGTAGCAGCAGCCTCAGCAGCAGTAGGTCTCAATATACGCAAAGGGAAAAGCAGGATTCTCCGATATAACACAGCATGCACCAATCCAATCACAATTGACGGAGAAGATTTGGAAGATGTAAAAACCCTTACATATTTGGGCAGCATCATTGATGAACATGGTGGATATAATGCGGATGTGAAAGCGCGGATCAGTAAGGCAAGAGCAGCATATTTACAATTGAAGAACATCTGGAACTCAAAGCAACTGTCTCCCAACCAACACCGAGGTCAGGATTTTCAATACAAATGTCAAAACAGTTCTACTGTATGGGGCGGAAACCTGGAGAACTACGAAAGCCATCATCCAGAAGATACAAGTGTTTATTAACAGTTATCTGCGCAAAATACTTCAGGTCTGTTGGCCAGACACTATCAGCAACAACTTACTGTGAGAGAGAACAAAGCAGATCCCAGCGGAGGAAGAAATTAGGAAGAAGCGCTGGAAGTGGATAGGACACTCATTGAGGAAATCACCCAACTGCGTCACAATGCAAGCCCTCACATGGAAGTCTGAAGGCCAGAAGAGAAGAGGAAGACGAAAGAACACATTACGCCGGGAAATGGAGATAGACATGAGAAAAATGAATAAGAATTGGATGGAATTAGAAAAGAAGGCCTAGGACAGAGTGGGTTGGAGAATGCTGGTCGTCGGCCTATGCTCCATTGGGAGTAACAGGCGTAAGTAAGTTATTAATTTATTAGCGCACTTGAAAGAAACTTTCCAATCCTTCTTTCAACAAGTGCCATTCAATTGCTTCCCTTAATGAATTTGAATACAACCAGAACAAACACTGATACAGTATAATATAAATTCATTAGATTTCGCCGTTTCTCATCAACTGCTTGCACTCATATATGTATTGAACGTTAACATTGAGGTAAGATATGATATGAAACAATTAATTAAATTAAGGCAAAGAACTAGAATGACAGATGTTATATATATAACATGAGGGGGTGGGTAAAGTATTAATTAAATGAGGTCCGGAGATAGATAAGATAGATAATTTTAGAGGTTATGAATGGTTTACATAAGATTACTGGAATTAAAAATTGATAAGACGGGTTACATAATAATCGAACAGGATTTGAAGAGTTTACAAAAGTTAAGAGAAAACTTATGTGTGAAGGGATAGTGTACATAAAATAAGAATTAGTTAAGGAAAGTTCGCTTGACAAAATGAACACTAATAAAATATTGATACTGACAAAAGTAATTCACCAAGGTAGTGGTAAGTTTATTACTGTCTCTTTCAAGATACGTAAATCAGGTTTGAGTGTTTTTATTGATCTTGCTTTGGCAAACCGAAGAAAGGATGCGTTATTAATCCAATGTTGATGAGATATCATGAAATATAATGAATTCACATTATTCTGTATCAGTATTCGTTCTGTCTTTATTCAAATTCAACAAATATAACCGAAGCAAAAGTTTAAATGATCAATATGTATTAGAATCTTATAGAAATTCATCGACATTTCAGTCGAGCCTAGGTTTGCATATCATTACTGAATTTGTTTCATAATTAACAGATACAGCTATGACACTCAAACTGATTGATTTTGAATTCAGGCATCAGTATGATTATCAAGGCTGAGTTGTATGATATGGATTTTATGATAATTAATTAGACAGCATCTCAGTGAATTTAACTGGTATGTACTTGTTACTAACTGATATGTAACACAATTTGATCTAAAATCTATGTGATTAGAATGTAGAAACGTAAAAGTGTTGAATAGCGAGCCGACAAAGTGATGTGTGGGCGAGGATGACAATGATTGGTTATTCGCTAGTAGATAGTTTAACAGGCGTTAGATGAGTTGTATATTCTCTTATCCGTATTATTATTATTATTATTATTATTATTATTGATTTTGTCGGATTGATGTCGGTTTTTTGGTGTAACAATATATTTACGTTCTAGTCAGGCTAATCTCGTGTCCTTGATCTGAGTTATATTAAAGTCCTGTAAAATAGACACTGCTAGGGAATCTAATGTAGATATTCGTTTAAGGTAAATTAATGTCTCATTCGTATAGACGAGGAAACTCCGAGCATTATAACAGAGAGAAATTTAATTAAATATTTGAGTGAATACAAACTGTTGCTTCTATTTAATTACCTGTTTCCTGAAGAAAGAAAAAAAACATTTTCTCGCTAAGAAACACACATGCCAAATGAACTGAAAGGACAAATTATTTCTGGTTTAAATTGAGTACAGTTTAAACAATCAAATGTTAAACTTATCATAAATCACAGTTGCATTTTCTTTGTGTGTGTGTGTGTGTATTTAAAAATGCATCAATTAGATTGAACATCGTCTTTTATTTTTATGGTCTGAATGAATTTCGGTCTACTTAAAATGATCAATTAATTGAAGCGTTTAAAACAAAACAAAATTTAAAGTTAATACACATTTAAAACAGCAACAACAACAAGAAAAACAAAAATGTTGGTTTCTGCTTTTGATTAAATTAAATTTAGAAATAAACTAAATAATAGTAAACTAAGAACTCAATTATAAATACAGATTAAAATGTAGAATGTATTTTTTTTCCTTTTTTTCTTTTCTTTTTCTTTCTTTCTTTTTGTACATTACTCTTATTGAAATATACAATTAATTTAATGAATTATCTACTTATTAAGCCTACGTGTACATTGTTTTAGATAAGACTATGGAATGTGAAATCTCATTAATAATCTTCATATATATGAGGTGTTCAATGAGAAAATTAATTAATTATTATTCGGATATGAATTAGGACAAAAATAGACCAGATTTGAACCAAATCTAAAATGATCTTGATCAACAATAACACATGTATTCGGAGATGGTGATGATAATGATGATGTTGATTGTGGTAATAAGGTATCTGTTGTATGATAAACATGTTTAAGAAAATTTTCATTTGCATCAACTGATTGTAAAACTGTATCTAATGTTGTAAATTCTTGTAATGAATTATCCGTAATTAATGTAGATATATTAGATATTTGTGAATTTGTTACCGAATCACAATATGCCATATTTGTACAAAATGCATAAGATTGTTCAGTTTCTTTTGGTTTTTGTGATTTACTTACAATATAGTTTGATTTACTTGGAGCTTCTATTGAGTTCAGTACCGAAGCACCACTCGACGGCTGCATCTGTTATAAGAAAATGAAAAAGGACACGAAATGTGAATATATATATATATATATATATATATATATATATATATATATATATATATATATATACTAACAATAGTAGGCGGATGTTAACAGTTTTATGAAAGGGTGGAGTTGATGAGAAACATGGTGTGTCTTTAATCCTTACTTTTCGAACAGTTTGGTCACATGTAAATATATCAAAGCATTTATAAATGAAAACTAACAAAGGTCATTTACAGATTGAACTCATGAGTCAGTTGAAGCTAGACCACCATTGAAAACCTGGAAGCACTGAAATAGGGGGTTCATTAAACATGACAACAGGAAATAAACTAAGGAAAAAATGAATGCGATATGAAAAAGATAACAGAATATTACAATACCCCGGTTCTGGAACTTCACTGTTTATCAAGGCAGATTCAAAGTTAAGAGAAATATTCTTCTGTACGTATAAAGTTTCGAGATTTTTCAAAACCAAAATTTATATAATTCAAGCTTGACAATTTCTGTGCGAATCTTGAAGTCCATATCCAGGTCAATCCTAAAGCCCCTTTTCTATTGTGTTTTGTTATTGAAGGGCATAGTTTTCTACTTCCTGAATTATCGAACCCCCTGATACTAATTGATTGGCAAATTTGGGCACATTTTATATCACTGAAGATTGAACCGTTTGATTACTCTCAGCACATATGCACCCACAGATATTCAAACTGGTAATGCATTGGTATGTGATATATCCGTTCACCATATGTAAAGACCTATGTGGAATCATGGGCTTAGTTGTCTCACAGGCAATTAATTCAGAAACATAATATATTTCCTTCATGAATGTTTTCAATCCCTGCTTTAAAATTATAGTGTTTGATTTTCTTTCATAAGATAGACTGATGCAGATTATTTTCTCGAAACAAATATAATAAGAGATCCTAATGTTGACCAACTTTTACACGGATCTTAAACTTTAACGAATATTCGAAGCAATGGTTTCATGTCACGTGCTTTAGTATCTCCAATGCATATTTATTGAATTGTGTTGAAGAAGCACTTAACCAAACGCGTTTTATATTGCAGCGCACAGGAACTGAAGAATTCCAGACAATGGTCAGTTCATGTGTGTTCCTTATTGTTAGGATAGTCGGAAAAATATACCAATAATTGTCGTGTTAAGTCTATGGTGGCCTTGGACCTTAAATGTACATTTCCTATTGGTTGATGTTTATTTCACTTGTTAAATATTGTGTAAATGTTGTTCTCTATTTTATGGTACGATGTCGTTTGTTTGGTTAGTATATAAATAGAGTATGTCTGAAATACAATGATTCATAACTCAGAGGCTGTGACTTGCGTTCTTGACTCAACTGGCTAGGACAGACAACGAAGCAGGGCCAATCAGAACACTAGGTCGTCCACTACGTGTTTACGTGTCACTGTCACAGAATCGATCGATAAATACACTGCGTATCAAAAACCTGCAGTTACACCCGTTACAACACTTATAAACTGTTCGTTTTGTGGCCCAATACATCCTTCGACTCAAATTATGTCTAAAAAGAGCAGTCGCTTTGCATTTCCAACATACAAGTTATTGGTTTGTCATTCAGTACGTTATTAAGCTTATTTGATGACCGAACAATAACAACATTTCATAACAATCTTATTAACTCTAAATAAATGGTCGATCATCTGCGAATGTGAACCGAACTTGTCAGTATGTAATAAAAATAAGTTTTTCAGTTGCATTGGACGAATAGGAAAAAATACGAAAACTACTGGACGACTAATCGAAATAAACATCAATAGTTTTGGTTAGACATCAATCACTTTTCCACCAGATGAGTTATTATTCTTTTCCTTAATATTAATATTATCACCAAGATTAATTATTTCAAACTTATCTTTTCATGAAAACTAAATTTAAATAAACTCCAAAAGTTGAACATGAATTTCAACATAAATCAGTTAATGTGTACTGACAAGAAAAAGAAATAAAAGATCGCAAACAATCATAAACATGAGGTGTATAATTTAAGTAAAATTGTTTCTTTTCTATTACTAAAATAATTAATTGCTTTCCTATTTTAAGACAATCAACATAAATTTTCACTGAAATTTTATTTGTACTAAGGATCAATTAGGCAATAAATATTTTATGCATAGATAGATTACTTTTACGAAATGGATGTTTTATTGACTAAATATAAACTCGCGAGTGAGCGCTTAACCACTAGACCACTGAGCTTACCGGCAACCAACTGTATTAATGTCTAAATTAGTGGTCTTGCTTCAATCGACTCATGATCTCAACTATTGAAATTACTATAATATTCACAAAAAACTCCTTCTGATATTATTCAACATATGCTCAATAGTGACTGGCATCAAAAGGTATTTTCTGGAGTTCTAGTGAGAAGCAGTGACAAGTAGAGTTCAACCGGGTCTGTTATGAGATAGTAACTCACTGAAAACTATGGTGGATGTGTCGCTCAATTTCGTGGATTAGTTAAACATAGACATTATCACCGTTGGATACTGGCCAAATCAGTGGTCTAGTGGTTAAGCATTCACGCGCGAGTGTAATAGGTCCTGGGTTTGAATCTCGCGAGTCGGGATGGTGGATGCGCACTGCTGAGGTGTCCCACAATAGGAGGAAACGGTCATCCAGTGCTTCCAGGTTTTCTATGGTGATCTAGATTCAATTGACTCATGATCTCAACTATTAAAATTACTAAAATATCCACAAGAACCCCTTATTATATCAAATGCAAACTGTTGAGCATAATTAGTAACTACCCATGTTAGTAATTTTCGTTAAATTAACAACGATTTTTTGTTAACTAAAAATATCCACTTCCAGCAAACACATTCTTTAAAGGTATCGAACAAATTGTATGTTGTCTCATGTAAAGTTCACTCCACTGAAAGTGTAAGGTGATTGAAATTGTATCGCATGTTTTAAAAAATTCCATACATTAGTTAATAACACTTGTTACATAAAGGTTATGAGTAGAATGATCATCTTTTGCTTATTAAGTAGATAAACGATTTGATGAATGAATATGGTCTATAATTGAAATATAAAGTATTTTTAGATATTTGATTTGTTTATAATTCAAAAAATATTACCAAGGACACAACTATATAAACATGTAGTGTGTATACATCAATCCACTAGTGAAACACTAATAATATCTTCAGTAGCAATAAACCACAAATTTGGCAAAATATGTAGATGATACTTTTGTCATTATTAAAAAAGGTTTTCCTACGAACTTTTTCTAAATGAATCAATACACTAAGATGGTGGTTGGAAGTAGTCAACAGAAAACCTTGGACCTAGGTTTCGTGCTATTTGGCACTCGTCAGCAAGGTGTACCTATAATCTTAAGAAAACTGATACTCCCTGACGGATTCGATCCCGTTTACCCGACTTCACAGTCAGAAATGTTACCACTGAACTATCCGTGCTGCGACCGACCTCCTGTAGGACTAAGATGTCTTTAGAATTGAGTGACCACTGGGTGTTGATCAATGTTATGTATTTCAGGTCCGTCTTAGTGCAGATCGAATCCCATCAACCAAGTTGCAATGTGGCCACCAGCCTAGTTGACTTGACATGGCATGCACTATGTTGAGATAAAATGGTGGTTGGAGGTAGTCAACGGGATCAATACACCCGCATCCCATATTAAATTTACTTAGGAGAATAAAAATGAACACGTTTAGCTATCGATTTTGGGTTGCTTATTTAAAAGAAATTTAACTGGTTCTTTAAATCTATCTATCTACCGAGAACCAATACACTCGAATCGTTATATCGACTTCGATTCAGTAAATCCGATCAGTACTACAGTCTCCCTGACCCTAAATTATTATTATTATTATTTTTACATTTGATGGGGATAAACGAAAAGAACAGAAGTATATAACTAACAGCTTACAATTTAATAATTTTTCCATGAATATTATTAGAGATGTAATGAAACAAGGGAATTTACTGTTAAGTAATAGGTTGATTGAAATCCGTGGATTGGTACCGTTGTTTTACCATGGTACATCAAAAAAACACCAAATGGTCATAAAAGAACACGGCATGAAAATAGACTACAAAACAACTAACACCCATCGCAATGCTTTAATTTATATAATCAATAATATCCTCTATACTTCAACACAGAACTGGGCCTACGAATTAGGATGCTTTCTATATCAGAAAGTCATCTGGTGAAATCTTGACTCGGGCCAAAGAACATCTTAAGTACACACAAAAACTACATAATGATCTTGTAGAATATGAAAGACTCTACATTAGATCGGTAATCGAATATGTTTGAATACAAAATTGCAGAATCTCTTAGTAAAATCTGAGAACCATACAGCAAATAATTCATTTGCAAAATATCAATCAATCGTCTCAGACTTCATTGTTCTTTCATGTCCACACCAATCATTCTTTGTTCTCGTTCCCTTTTCTTTGATCTTCTTAACATTTTACCTCCAAGCATTTCACTTTCGACTGGCGATATATACTACATATATTTATCGACATCAGTAGCACAAAACACAGCAGTGCATGCCATCTTCAATAATCAAAGTTTTTACTAAAATTATCAAAATAATCCAAAAATGCTTTTCCAACTGCAAAGGAATGCCCTCAATAGAAATGAAGACCTTACCAAACATCCGACTTGGACTATCTGTCCGAGCTACAATGTCTGATTTTATTCATACCTCACATTATTATCATACATACAAATGTCACATTTCTCATCCATTAACACACGTGGATACAAATATTTTTGTCTTGTTTCTTTGTATTATCTAAACTTGGGTTAATTTGTTTGTTTATTCTCCAAAGAAGTGGCTTACACTAATTCACAAAACGTCAGAAAATTTAGTTTTTCTACTTATTGCGATATTACAAATGCATTCTTTCTACTAGAAACAGCTATTTAGTTAGTATTATAGTAGTTTCATGATTAAAAAGAACATCATATTTTACGGTATCTATTAATCATATAACTTCTAATGATTAATTTTTATTAATAACGTCACTTGAAAGCTACTTCCCTAACAGACATCAACCGGTTCTGATTGCAAATCGAAATCATGTTGTATCACACCAAATACCAAAATGTAAACCACAAATTTATTCAGTCACGGGTAAATGATTACAACTTGTTCATGCTATGTAAAATATCAAAATATTTGTCTGGTCTTTTATGAAAATAATCTGATAGCGTTAAGTGAACAGTTTTTCATAATTTCATTCTTTTGAGAAGGCTGATATGAAGAACCGTTGGAGCAGGTACTAGTTTTAGCTTTAGATGAAGATATGTTCCAAGAGCTATGTTGTTTAGTTTTGATTTTTTCATTGTCTCCCGAACTCACTTTAGCATAAACTTCAAAAACATGTTAATTTTAGGAATTTTTCTGCAAGTTGTGAAGAACTTTTTCTGTCAACATTATATGATTGTTTGATGTCAAAGTTTGGAATGTCACTAATCCTAAACTTATTTCGACTATTAACCTAAATGACCTGATTTTTGACTGTATAATGCTTGTGATTCTCCTAACTGGTTTCTTACTGACCTGTACGTCCAGATTATAAAAATCTTCTAGCTATATTTTTTTCACCTCTGTCCAGGATTTCGATGTTTGCTTCAATGAACTTATTTGCACGATTATCAAGATACAATCATATAATCGAATAAATGCAGCTTAATAGTTATATGGTTTTCATGTACCTTGAAAGGGTGATCACTTACTCAATTGAGACGACATGATTTGGTCAAAATCATGCTCTTAAGCTACAACTCATTATTCTTCACTAATTGTAAAATCATATGCTTCAATATAATATACTTAATTTCATCAACCGGTACCAGTGAGCTATGAATATTTCTAGAAAGCAATAAGTGTGAGCATATGTTATTGATGTGTCAGATAATTTTGTCAGCTCATAAATCCAAATTTCACATCCGGATTAGAGTTTCCAGGAAACATTAGATCTTCTGAAATTCTCTAACAACATGACTTCAGAAAAAACAACAAACCTTGTACTCATATAGAGAAACAAACTTGAGGAAATAAAACATTGAAGTGTCAACTACCAAAGAAGTTAAAATATAAATATTCATCATACAAAACTTGTTGATATGCATAAGGATACGAAATCATGAAGGTAAGATCTTAGTAAGTAAGGAAATGATATATAAGTCAGATAAATAGGAAGTTGTAGATGAAAATTGGATATATGTGATGTTTTAAGATCCATCCATATATATATATATATATATATATATTACATATATTCAAATTTTCATCTACAACTTCTTATTTATCTGACCTTCAACCACCTAGCATTGAAATGTAATCCATGTGATATTGAATCAAATTATCTATAGACTATATTGTAATCTGATCAATAGTATTCAATCAATAATGAGAGGTGGAAAACATTAAACTGATTGCAATCCAGCTATCAAACGGTGAGGTCCCATAGTTTATTCGATAAAAAAAACATCATTTATCTAAATACTTCACAATCAATTCAATCGAAAATGCTTTTCTTTGAAAAGAAAACTTTATAAGTGACCAAAATGCTTAAGCTTAAATTTAATTCATCCCTAAATGTATCCTTACATGATTATGTAATACATTGAAAAAGCTGAAAATTTCTTTAAAATGAATACATAGTGATATAGAACGAATAGGTTTACAAAAAAAGGTTGCCTCATTTAATTCCATAAATCATTATGTCTCCTTAATGAACAAAAAGTATATAACTATGGTAACGCAGCATTTGCATTAAAAAAATTATGTTAACTTATTTTCATAAGGTATACAAATACTGTACAAACTACATAGAACTAAGTAAACATTTAAATGAACAAAAAAATTTATTCTCAGTCTACTTCTGTGTACTTTGGTAGAACGAAGTTAAATAATTCCTCTGGGAATATCTATGTACATATATATGGAGTGATAGATGGAAGAGAACAAAAAAACATTATTAAGATTAATTAATTATTTTTCTACTAACTAATCAAAACGAAACAAAATTATTTTATACAATTAACTTCTGTGTATGATTAATTACATTACATTAGACAAACAATCCCTATTGAAATGAATATATATAAAAGTTTATTTTGATAGTTGAGGTCACCACTTAATTGAAACTAGGCCACCATGGAAAACCTAGAAACACTGGGCAGCCGTTTCGTCCTGCTGTTGGGCTCTTCAGCAGTGCTTCAATCGACTCATGATCTCAGCTAATAAAATCATTATTATATCCACAAAATCCCTTCTGATATAAAGGTTTATATTTAAGAAACCAATAACACGGTTAGTGGCTATGATTTGTTTGACTTTATTGTATAATATTTTCAACTCTAATTGTTGCTCAGAACAATAGATAATGTTCATTTTGGTATATAGTTATTTGTATCAGAAGAGGTTTTGTGGATATTATAATAATTTTAATAGTTGAAATCATGAGTCAATTAAAACTAAACCATCATGGAAAACCTGGAAGCAATGGACGGCCGTAATATTTCATCAATAGAGAATAGTTCAGAATAACTTTGAAATAAGTTTTGCATACATATTGAATCATTTTCAGTAAAATGCTACTAATCTTCAACTTGGTCCCAGTAAATTTTCTATCGTTTTAAAACATTTTGACTGTATTTCTCATGATGTTTTTCTTATATCCCGATGAGAATAATGAATGGTAACTCTTGAGAACTATTTATGGATAAATACGATACCTATACATTTATTGTATAATTACTAAGTAGCTAAACTATGCACATTCATTTCCCTGTTATTATGAGCTTTATTTTAACTTATGAACTATTGTTATACGATTTACCATTCTTGAGTTATGCCTAGTCTATTAATTACAGACTTCTACATTTACAGCCACTTTTGGCTAGATCTTGTATAAATGTTATTTTTCACTTAATGGTACGGTGTGGTCTGTTTGGTTTGTAAATATACCCAGTATGTTTGAAACAAATGATTCATATCGCAAAGGCTGAAATTAGTGTTCTGAACTTAACAGGTAGGGCTAGACAGAAAGCAGGAAAAATAAAGACTCTAGACCGATCGTATAGGTTTATGGGTCATTGGGTAGGTCGATAATTCACTGTTCTCTAATTGGCGGTATTATTACATTATACATTAAAAAGGGCACAAACCAACAAGTTATAACAGTTTTAACAAAGTTAGTTTTTTCTAATACTAACACTTTTGTTTTGAACTACAGAGAAATAAAATAATTTGATAGTTGTATAACCTAGGATGAAAGTTTGACTTCATCCAGACGTCAATTACCATTGTCCAAATTCATCTTTATTTTTTAAAAAAAAGGTAGTTAACTACTGGGAAGAAAAAGAACGAAATCCTTGTTCTTTCATCACAACTTGAACAAATAATATGTCATTTGAAGAAAACGACATCATCCCAAACAGGGAAAGTACAACATACTGATTATAAAATCTAATGCTATATCAGTCATTCGTAAATGTATTTTAGTAAACATGATTTTCGTATGGTTGTCTGGTACATCTGATATAAAAGTTTCAGACTCCTAATAATCAGAACCAGTAACTTTTTAAACTAAAGACATATATCTAGCACCCTATCTTATCATAATAGAGCACTATACTAATTGTTAAAACCACACATTTTTGGATATTAACTTGTTTTGATTGCAGATATTTTAATGACTTTATTGACCTAGAACCGGTTTCATTAATTTGAACAACCTAATATATTTCCGAAGCAACAAATTATAACAATACATGTAATGAAGGGTTTATAAGGAATGATGTAATGAAAATTATACCTCAAATTGAAGTAAGAATACTATTAGAGGTGTTTAGCACAAAGAATAATGAAAAAGGTGATGTAGTTTAAACACAACAACGTGACTCCAATGCTTAAAATGATATTTACAATCCGTAATTTTTTGGGATGTGAATTTACAGTACAGCTTTCTCTGAGCTCTTTAGAGTTCTCTTAATGCGTAACCGTTTTATAAATATAAACATTTCTAGGGTTTTAATAGACGGTTATTATCAATACGGAGAAATGTAATGCATGCATAATATAAATGACAGATTTCGCCAAACAATCTGTTAGATACATTAGAAGAAAGTTTTATATTGGATAACGTAAATCTACTTCATTAATGCAAAACTTATATACACTTTTTTGAAACTTTGTAGAATTCAACTTTGTTTTTAGGTATCAATACAAAGGTCATACCTGATAGTTTGAAATAAATTGCTCATTGGGTAGAAAGTTGATAATAAATATCAAAATAATTTAGAAAATTTTTTTGTCGGAACTATAAAGAGAGTTAAGTAGTCAGAGCGTTTCTCACAATTCCAAATCTCTCTACCCTCAGTAGGATAGAACGCCTGACTATTTATCCAACCTGAACTGTTTTTCACAACAACGACATCCGACCCTACATATTTCTCACTCGATTTTAACCCTTCAACTTTATATAAGAAATGTATACACTTATCATTATCACCTGCTTACGCACAGTGATATGTCATACAAAATCCCCTTGATCAAAATAACATAACATTGACATTTTCAAACGTATTATGATTTTGACTGTACTAAAAATGTACCACATTTTACCTTCTAACTACTTAAACTTGTGTTAATTTTATTTAGGTTATTTATTTACTCTGACAATGTGAGTTATATCAAGTCATGAAACATCAGAAATACAATTTTCTACTCATTAACATATCATATGAATATATTTATTATTGACTTACTTTGTTACTTATATCAGCTAATTTAATATTTACAGGATTATATAAATTAGGTCCAGATAGTACTGTTGATGACGATGCTGTAGACGACAGAAGTTTACTGAGATCATTTTGATTAAATAATGCATCATTATTTAAGATAATTTCTTGTGAATTTGGTAAAGCAGCTGAAATATATGAAGTTGTTGGTGAAAAAATTAATTGTTGCTCTTTTGAGTTTTGTTGTTGTTGAGCATTTGTGTGTATTAGTATTTTATCCAATGAATGGTTGGTTAATTCTCGTTCATCATCTCGAATAATTTCTGGTGTGGTAGTCCATACAACATAAGCAGTATTTGAACATGATGAAGGAGAATTGGGAAATTTTTTTGAACAATTATGTGTTAAATTATCTTTACCGTTACTTGATATCTGTATATTACTATTATTACTACCTTGAGTTATAACTCCATAATCTGAATTTGTAATACTCGATGGAAGTATGTCAACATTAAAGTTTCTGGAATTTTTATCTATAGAATCTGTATATAATGTACCCTCAAATGATACCGATTTAAATGAACTGAATGAATGCTTAACTTCATCATTGCTAAAAATATTTATAGTATCTCTCATAACAGACGATGATCTATGATCAGCTGATTTAATAGAATTTATAGGTTCTGATTTATTCTAAAATGAAAATCAAGTAGATAAGATAAATAATTGATTATGTAATTATTACTTCGTTAATATTGTTATTCAAAGAAACAAAAAAAGGAACTGAATACAAATACAAAATGGGAACTCCTTTAATGAGAAACCAATTCAAGCATAGCCTACAGAATATAAATAAAAGAATTATTAAAATTGATCTGTATTGATAAAGATCAAAGAAATCTCAATAATCATTATAAACAAAACTTAATCATAATTAATAATGAAATCAAATTAGAAAATTTCTTTAGACAAAACAAAATTACTCAATTACTGAATAAAGTTGGAACACGACAGGAGTAAAACAAACTAGAAAAAAAAAAAGAAAAGATAATCGAACTTTCTATTATCCGGATTAAATTATTATTTAGATCATTTTATGAAGATATAAAGCATGTTTTATAAAAAAGAAAATTATTAATGTCTAACAGGCATGAATAGTAAATGAATTTAAACAAATAAAATACACAATTAATTCAAATGAACATCAAAGATTAATACATCAGATGAAGCGAAACAAACAAAAGGATAATATCAGAAGAAGTTTTGTGGATATTTTAGTAATTTTAATAGTTGAGATCATGAGTCAATTGAATCTAGATCACCATAGAAAACCTGGAAGCACTGGATGACCGTTTCCTCCTATTGTGGGACACCTCAGCAGTGCGCATCCACCATCCCGACTCGCGAGATTCAAACCCAGGACCTATTACACTCGCGCGTGAATGCTTAACCACTAGACCACTGATTTGGCCAGTATCCAACGGTGATAATGTCTATGTTTAACTAATCCACGAAATTGAGCGACACATCCACCATAGTTTTCAGTGAGTTACTATCTCATAACAGACCCGGTTGAACTCTACTTGTCACTGCTTCTCACTAGAACTCCAGAAAATACCTTTTGATGCCAGTCACTATTGAGCATATGTTGAATAATATCAGAAGGAGTTTTTTGTGAATATTATAGTAATTTCAATAGTTGAGATCATGAGTCAATTGAGGCTCAACCACTGAAAAAAATAATAATATCACCAACATAGTACGAACCACTATGGGTTGATAACGAAATTATGCCAAACCACAGTGGTACGACGGAAGAACTACAACGAATGGTTTCAATACATAGCATGAAAGCATCTTATAAAACAACGTATACTCTAAGAAATATTTTGGTTGAAATGAAAGATAACATTCTTTCTTGCATAGACACAGAATTGTGTTTAAAGACTAGGATGTGTAGAGTGCGATATCTTATATATTAAATTGTCTTATTGTGAAATCATAACTCGTGCTAAAGAAGATCTAAACTTTACAAAAAGGACCTCCAAATAATCCTATATATCTGGAAAATCTGTAAGTCAAATCAGCATTAGTTATACAGGTTAAACCTTACTGCGCTTAACTAAAAAGGATGTCTAACGATGCATCCGATATAGACAATTTATTCAAATATCTACAAAATTAAATCCGTTCACACCTTTCACATTTTTTACATCTACTGGCACGCACACATAAACCAAATATGAAGTGACATAACTTGATCAGACCAATTTTAATTCTAATTGTACTAAAGATATTCTTCTTTGTGTCCTTTATACTATTTTAAATTGCGTTAGTTTAACTTGCTATTTATTTGTTTTAATTCTCCAAAGAGCTGACTTATATTTGATTATGAAACGTTCGAAATTTAATCTCGCCAGGCGAGATCAGGGATGTGCACTGCTGAGGAGTCCCACAATAGGTCGAAACCGCCATCCAGTGCCTCCAGGTATTTCATGGTGGGCTAGCTTCAATTGACTCATAATTTCAACCACTGAAATTACTACAATATCAACAAACTTCTTTCTGATATATCAGTGTTTGATAAATTTTATACTTTTGATTAAATCTGAAACATTAATGAATAATAGGCTTGAGATGGATTACATTAGCTTGACCTGTGTTCGAAAGACTTATTCACAAACCTTACAAAAAATTTGGTAAAATGTGGTAGGTAACTCGAAAGGCTTTGTTCTCTTGTTCTCCTGTGTTGATTAATTAACTGAATATATATGAATTCCTAATCAACCTTACTCATTCTTCATTTAGTCAAGGAATATGATTTATGGGATTTCGATGATGAACTTGTTTGATTGTGTGCATGGCATGGTTTCCTTTAACACAGCGCTTGAATTAGCTCTTCTGAATAGATAAAGGATAAATCACAAAAACCTATCTTTGTTTTCGAGTGTGAAGATGAGACATTCTAAAAATAGGTTCGATAGATAATGAATAAACATTTTCTTCATAGCTTTTTTTACTCGTAGTGTTATTATTTCACTAGCAAGGTAATTTACGAGCCCTAGGTTTGGGAATGGGAGACCTAAACGCTAAAGTGGGAATGGACAACACCGTATACGAAGATATCATGGGACGACATGAACTGGAACAAAGGAACGAGAATGGTGACAGATTTGCAAATCTATATGTATTCAACAATTTGGTTATACGCGGCACAATCTTCCCACAAAAACGCATACACAAAGCTATATGGATCTCACCGGACCACATCACGGAGAACCAGGTAGATCATATTTATATCATTGCGAAATTCATAAGGTCAATGGGAGACGTGAGAACCAGGAGAGGATCTGATATAGCTTCACATCACCACCTTGTTGTGGCCAAGATGAAATTGAATCTAAAGGAGTACTGGATAGCTGGGGAAACAACATTACAAAGGTTCAATACAGCTTTCCTACGAGATACTAATAAGTTCAACGAATTCAAGATAATTCTCAACGACAGGTTCCAAGCCTTACAAGATCTACTGAAAGAAGAAGAAACTACTATGGAGGACAGTTGTAAAGGAATCAAACGGACACTAATTTCAACGTGCCAGGAGGTGCTAGGCCATAAGAAGCATTATCATAAGGAATGGATCTTATAGCGACTCACATGCAATTGGGTTTATTCTCATTTAACTCAGTTAAGCCCTATGCATTTATTCACTCTGCTAGTCTTACTACTAACCGCTTATTTGATTCGATTACTCATTCATTTCACATGGTATATATATATCCATGTTATTCATATTCAACACTCACTCACACACTCGTCTCGCTCTTGCTCTGGCTCCCGCTCGCTTGCTTGCCTTTCGGCAAAACTCTTCTATGCTTGTTTAACGCATCTGTACTTTTGAATATATGTGGGTGGTCTCGAAATAAACGTAATCATCACTTCGTATTTGCCTTCTGATTAATATACCGTTGGGACGTTATATAGAACGGTTATCAAGACGAACTGTATACGAAGTTTAAGGATTATATCGAATATCGACCACCACAGTCTCTATGGAAACCCTAGACAAGATTCAAAAAAGGAAGATCAAAAAGACAGCAATTAGCAACAGTCAAACAAGAGCAAAGAAAGTAAAGACGCAAGCTAAATACGCAGAGGCAAATAGGAAAGTGAAGAAGAGCATGAGAGCTGGCAAGCGGAAATATGTGGGAGATCTAGCCACGACGGTGGAAAAAGCTGAAAGAGAATGAAATATCAGACAACTATATGGCACGACGAAGAAACTGGTAGTGAAATATAGTAAACCGGGGAGACCGATCAAAGACAAAGAAGGCGAGACAATCACCGAGATTCAAGAGCAGTGGGACAGATGGGTAGAATAATTTGAGGAGTTCTTGAATTTACCTGCTCCATTGAATGTACCAGACATCGAAGCAGCACCGATAGACTTTCTTATAGATGTCACTTTATCAACGATGGAAGAAATCAGGATGGCCAAGAATGGGAAAGCAGCATACCTGATAATATACTACCTGAAGCTATGAAGTCAGACATAGAAGTAACTGCAAGCATGCTTCACGTTCTGTTCACGAAGATTTGGGAGGAAGAACAAGTACCGGCGGACTGCAAAGAAGATTACCTCATCAAGACACCAAAGAAAGGAAATCTGAACAGATGTGAGAACTAAAAAGGCATGACACTGCGGTCGGTACCAGGAAAGGTTTTCAATAGAGTGCTGCTGAACCGGATGAAAAAATCAGTAGACTCCGAACTTATAGATCGGTCGTGTACAAACCATATTGCGACACTACGGAGTAAAACTCATCACTGTACATCAACTTCATTGACTGTGAGAAAGCATTCGACAGTGTGGATAGAAGAACATTATGGAAAGTTTTCGACATTTTAGACTACCTGAGAAAACTATCGATGTCATACAGAATTCATACGACAGAATGCAGTGCAAAATGGTGCATGGAGGACAGCTGACAGATGCATTCCAAGAGAGGACTGGAGTCAGACATGGCTGCTCACTCTCATACTTGCTCATTCTTCTGATGGTCGACTGGATCATGAAGACCTGTATATCTGAGGAAAGCACGAATGAACAGCTCAGAATCAATTAAATGATTTTTACTTCATAGATGACCTGGCCGATCTGTTGTACACACACGAACAAATGCAGATGAAGACAACTAATGGAACAGCAGTTTCTGCATCAGTAGGCCTCAACATACACAAGATTAATACTAAGATCCTCAATAATCGTATAACCGTTGAATGTTTTTATTAGCAGTATACGCCACAACTGTTTTCTTACTCAATTACTGAGATGTTGATTTGAAAATCTATTTATAACAAGGATTTTGATTTATAATGTGTTTGTTTAAATTGTTGCTAACTGACCATAATCAATATTAGACAAAAACAGATTGCGATAATTTATGAATTAACATACTTCTTTCGATAGACATTTACAATCTTGTTTTCTTTTGTTTAAGAGTTTTTTCCTTCTAAAATATATTTCAAAAGAACAATATAAAGAAACACTATCATTTGACATCGACAGGACACATATAAACTTTTAATTATGTTTTGAAAAAAAAACTATTCACCACTGAATGTTATGATGGGATGACGGAAGCGACTTTTGGTTAGTACATTATTCATGTTACCGTACTCTTATAATTGTCAAGCGAAAAGAGATTGTAATCACTATGGTTACAGTGTAGTTCTTAATGTAACAAAATTAACAATAATTTGTACTCTGTTTTTGTTAACAAATAATCAGGTTGGAGAAACTGTACACTTTCAAATCAAACTTGTTATTCGAACGAATACAATTTTATAGATAAAACTGATATCATTTTATTTTTCTTTTAAAATTTGTCACAACGTATGTTGTTGTAAACTATATGTTTTGATTACAATTACGCTATACTTCAGCTACCGTACCCTAGTAAATGTATCCAAGTAGAGTGCTTGTATTACGGTAAATATACAAACTGTATATTCATTTTATATCATTATGATCTAGTTAATACATAATTATTTATTTAACTTTTTGTCACTTTTGTCACTCAGATTGGAGATAGTCTTTTTTTTTCTTTATTGACGTCAATAATTGAAAAAAAAAATTATTTCAGTTTTGCAAGTATAATTTAATGAATGAGGACACAGTTGTTTATTAAATCAAAATACACATTCATTCCATTTGTTGTTGATAGAATTATTTATAACCGATGATATTTTAATCTGGATTTTTAACTTTTATTGAAGTATTAGTCAAATAAATAATTTTACTACGTAATGACGTTGTTATTTTTGCTGATGTTGTTGATTTTTTTTTTTGCTCTCTCTCTCTCTCCATTAATTGTTTATTTAATTTTGTGTTTGTTCAAATACTTTCATTATTATCAACATAAATTGGTTTATACAAGTATTTAAACTATTTTCCTTATTGAAATAATAAATCTCTTAGGATTACAAAGATAAATGTTTATGTATCTAAGCATTTTGAATTTTATAGGTCTATGGACTTTTTTGTTGTTGTTGATGTGCCTCCTGAATATTGATTACATTTCAAAAGGTTGTATCTGTGACACAGATACAAGTCAACTAATTTTAACTGATTCTAGATAAATCTGTATATTTTAAATCAATTTTCTTCCCATTAACCAAGGCTTCTCATATTTGTAGGTGATTGTATCTTAAACTATTGATAGAGATATTGAGTAAATGAGTAGTAAAATTTATTGAATACTTTCAAAGGAGTCATAGCAATTCTAATCAAATTTACCCTCTATGAAATTTTCCTATAGATAGATTCAACTTGAACAATGAGAGAAGTAAATTAAAGGGAATTCATTTATTTCATAGATTTCTGTCAGCTTCTAAGAACTCAGCAAACAATAATAATAGTGATTATCTATAAACAATGTACATACTTTATATCATATTAATGAAGATTAGTAGAATAACTTCACTCTTCTTTGATAAAATAACTACTCTATCACAATATGTGGCACTAAACATAAATGATGATACTTATATATGAATTATATTTACAACTCAAATGTACCAAGATGATGTGACTTAAATTTCACAGATTCACATTTATTTTTGCATGAAATACTGATAAATAGCTATGAATCATTTGACTTCAACATTTGCAATAGAACGATTAGAAAATATATTTAATCTAATGATTAGTACATTGAGCAATAAGGAATATTACAGCTGTTTCATTTTCGGAGCTAAATGATTGAGTTCTCAGGAATCTACTGTAGCATGTACTTCATTTAAAAGTAGAACCCCAATGAATATGATACAGAGAATTTAAACTCTATGACTTACTTTAGTAATCAACAATAAAGGTTTTAGTAATCCTAATTTTATGAGTGTATTCACAATGAATGTGATCTAAGTAAATCAATGTTCGTCTCGTACAATCCAAGGGAAATATAGTATACAATAACATATTCTCATATAACTATAGTGGTCTTAAATCACAGATGCTTTAGTACTCAAAGTACTTGACCCCAAATGCCCCGATACGGCCGAGAGTGAGGTGGGTCAGCTCTCCCTCTCTAAATGCCCTCACGTGATCACGCGTATACAGCCACTGCCACGGAAGTCCTACTCACCGCCTTCTTGCGGTATGGGTGTTGGTTTCTGAAATTGAGAGAACGAAAAGCGAATGTCCGGCGATTTAGCCGGGTTGGTGGACACGCAGAGTTCACCTAGGGTAGTTGGAAAACACCCATTTCAAATCAACAGTGCACATGAGCTCTAGTATCCTGAAGCAACAAATGGCGTATGAACCAATTATTGGTCACCAGTTACCGTGGGACCGCATTTCCTGACTTTGCTCCACTGCCTTGTGCATCAGACCTTCAGGTCGAAGGCTTGAGGTGCAATCGCCTAAGAAACCACCTCCTTCGGTTTAGGCACCCGGGCAGTATCCCAGTCCTCACACAAATCGAAGGATATGTGTGACACATATGTATTTGGTGCCTACCTATACCAATAGTTATGTGTGTAAATAAATAAATAAATAATAAAAACCACATGATTTTCAAAGTCTTAATTTAAAGTATTCACCTATTTATTCAATTATTTGTTGACCTGCATAACTCATAATTTACAATCATTTAAAAAAAATTTATATTGATATTAGTCTAAATTGATCACTTACCTAAAGTATGCTGCACAGAACGTTAATAGCAATATAATCATTGAACATGTGATTGCAGTGCCAATGAATGTAGCCAAATGACTTTTGACATGTAGACAATCTACAAAAAAAGTAAAATGAAAACAGAAAACATAATGCATTAGGACAAGAATGGAAAGCAAGAATTGATGGTTAATACAGTCTTAACTCATCAAACGTCTTTTGAACAATGTAAGGAACTCAAGACAATACCTAGGGTAATGTTTCGGAAAAAAACTATCTATTAAATCTCAAACACTCAATGCAATTTCAACTAAGCTTAACAATGATACGAAACTTTAGAATATGAATTAATGATTTATTCAGATTTAGCTAACAACAAAATATATTAACTAGTCAATAATTTTTCAAATCACATGGCTATTTGCCGTTTAGTTCGTCTTTTACTATTTATAACATGAGTGCACGTAAGTATTATGTCTTATTCGGAGTACGTTGGGATTTAATAGTTAATATATTCATAAACTAACATGTGTCTGCGATAAAAATTGTGTGCTTAAAATATAGTAACAAAAGTTCACCTTTTGTGTTGCCCTATTCGGATACAAGACTGAGTAGATAGAGTAAACGTTCATCATTGGTAGAATTGATGAGTGAGGATTATCTAGAATCAACTCAAGCAGAATCTTGTCTGCCTCATTATTATTGTTTACGTTACTCAGTCTATATTATGGAGTTCTGTTTAGCTGATCCACTCTAAATACCGATCAACTTTCATGATAACCTTGTGTTATAAAATTAGGTATATGCACTTCTTAATTCATTAGTGTATAAGCTCAATTTTAGTTATTAGGATGAAAATTGACAAGGATAGTGAAAAACAAACAATAACTTTATTTTTGATAGATAACATCTAGAGATTTACTAAAAACCAAAGATAATTTTTCCATCGAAACAATCGTCTTCAAAGTTCACTGACTGTATAGTGTTATTCGACTTCTGGGACAAATGTTATTAATGAACATCAATGTGCAAAACAAATCTTTGATTAAATATCATGAGCAAACATGTGTTTCACTTTTGCATTGACGTCATCCGTAGATCTCAAAATTTCAGCAAAAAACAATTGGAAAGGATCTTAAAGGTAATGATTGGAGTCTGGAACATTATTGGTAAACACATGATTTTGTGAAGTTTGATTAATTTGAATTCAAAATTATTTTTGATGTTGGCTAGTTAGAGGCCATCGGCAGGGATAAACGGACCACGAAGAGCATTAAAACACCATATCACTGTTATATGACTTCTTTTGCTTTCAAAATAATTCAACTCAATAAACTACAATTAACAGTTTATTCGGCATTGCCAAGTCAACATAGGAAGGGTAACATACTGTATACTGAGGGTTCCGAAAGACATAAGTTTTATTCCACCAGTCAAAATAAAAGAAACGAAAACACCATATAGGCTCACCGATGAACCCAGACAACATAATCCTAGGCCACTATATTTTGAACATCAAGAATTCATTAATAATAGGAGGGTAATTTTATTATCTTCATAGTACTAAACTATTCACATAAAATTCAACTGAACTTTACTTTACCTATTGATTGACATTATCGGTTAGTATAAAATGCTAATACTTTCTTCAGATATTTGAAGAAACCGATGTTGGACGGCTTATATGCCACGTCCAAAAAATTACCATTGAACGCTGTCAGCCATTGAATAGTTCGTAACCAGTGGAAATATTAACACAAGTATTATGAAAATATAATTTATACATAATTTTTGAAAGCATTCAGCTTAGGTTACAATTATTTTGACAAATGTCTCAGTGTTTTGTGGAGTTTATTTCGCTATAATTATAGATTTTGCCAAGCACTGATGGCAGTTAACTATTTGTTTAGAAATTAAAGACCACTAAACAAACGTTTCATTCTAAACTTGGCCTTTGAATCAAATCACACCCAGGATATCATTAGGGAATAAAAAGTGATCTTTATCTTCAACCTATAGAGCTAATTCAGTTATATGAATGCTTTTGGACAAAACATGTGAAGAAATATAATCCAAACTGATTCCACTCTATAATAGCTAATAAACCATTGGTCAATCCAATCATACTATTAACAGAGTGGGATATTTTATAAGCGTTAGAAATGGTCCATTTGAATGAAATAGATTTACATGTTTATTAGTAATTAGTTTTTAAATAACTAAACCGAAAAAATCCTAGCTGAGAGTTAGTTTATTTTGTTTATAATCATAACTTAGTCTTCATAAAGCAATGATTAGTAATTTAGAAAGAGGACTCATTTCTAACAACAGAAAAAATAACAAAAATAAACCCAAATTTATTCACCAGTAGTAAATTGAAATTCAGGAAGAGTACACAAATCGAACTTTTCACGTTTTATTTCTGATAATAGTTGCATAGTTTGCTTAGGTTGATTATTATTATCATTTAGAATTGATACAGAATTAATTAGGTCAACTGACGATTTTGAATCCGACTGCAGATAGTTTAGATTCTTTTTAATTGGTTGTGTATTCATGATTAATTTATTTTTGATTTTATCATTTGACACAAGTTGATCACATAATTCACCGGTGTGTGTCTCCGGACATCTTAATTATGTATGAAAAGAAACAGAAAAAGTAAATCAAAACAGGTAATGTGATTATGAGTCTAGTTATACTTTAGAGAAAATAGAAGACAAAATAACACTTCGTACTGAGATACTTAAATTTAATAATACTACTTATTTAACAAAATAAGTAGCTGTTAAACAACTAATGAAGACCAAAAGATGCTGAAAAACGATTTCACTCTTGTACAAGTCTTCACAGTAGAGCACATAGATGGCCTGATTGAAGATTGAAAGAATGACATAAACAACAAAATTATTGGGGTCAAAAATGTGAACTACTGGATGCCGGTTTAGTAATCTGAAGATAATTTCCCACCACGAAACCTGAAGGTTAAATGTTTAATCTTCGGTAGAGTTGTATATGCCCACCATTAAGTTGTTCAACACTAAGATTGAAATGTTGTAAAGCACCTCCCAGTTTCTAATGGTCATCTAAAGATATAAATTTATTATGCGAAACGTTATATACAGTAGTTCCCATAACGCCTAACAAAAAGTTAGTTTACGTTTCGATTTCCAACATAACGCTGGTTTTGTATTTAACAGTGCAATGTGAATATATCTTTGGATTCATAATTGATAAAACGTGGATCGGAGAGATAGTAAAAGATTATGCCAAATGATGTTCGGGAGTAAATCTTGGACCTGAAATTCGATAAATTTAATGAGTTTTATATTCACAATAATTGTTTGTTTTCAGTGATGTTTTATACTTGGACCGTCTTAAACATTACTTGTACTACATATCTACGCGTTTGTTGAATAAGTACAAAATTCAGTTCATAAATTAAGCGCTGATTATGTTGTCTAAATAAACAACAAACTATTCAAACTAGAAAACCCAAGGACGCCGATAGCTTAGCACTATTTCGAAATTTCTCAACTGAGAAAATATAACCTCTTGTGTTACATTAAATGGAAAATCTGTAGTGTGAGTTACTTATATCCACATAAGTAGTATATAACGGTGGTCATGCATAGAATGTATTTCAGCAGAAGATCGATAAACAAAGAACGGAAACGGAACGCAAGTGGTATTAAAATGCATGAATAATGAAATCTGAGACAATGGATTGATATTTTGCAAATTAACTATTTACTATATGGTTCTCAGATTTTAGTGAGATTTCGTGTCGAATACATCGGATCGTCCCCTACTGGTGTTCTTGTCCAATACAAACACATTAACTTAAAACCTCATTTGATGATAATCTTAAACATGTGAATAATTCTATATTAGACTACTCAATATTCAAATATTCCAATAAACACATTTATATTCAATAGTACTGATCTCAAGTAAAGCTTTCTCCAACAAAATAAAATGAACAATTACATGAATAAAAATTAAAGAATGTTCTAAAATGAAATCGATTCTCTATGGTAAATAGTTGAAAGAAACAAAAAAAATTTCAATTACATCGAATACAAATTACACGATTGAATTTTAATTAAATTTTGTCATAATAAGTACTGAAATAATTTTATTTTTTTATTATTTTCTCATCTCATATCAAAGGGGTGGAGGTGTTTATTTTGTTTTTTATCATTGAATCAAAGAAATAACTCAAATTCTATACACACACACACACACACACACACGAAAATATTAAATTTAATATTTTCCATATTGAAAAAATATAAATCATATCACTTACCTACAAAGTGAATTATTATTTATAATGAAACATGTTCCCATATTGCAAATATTCACTGGACAAGCTGAATAAACTTTATGTGTCAAAAAGAATAAATAAAAAAAAACGATTCAGCAAAAAGAAAAAAAATTTGTTTTTGTTCATTTTTTTTCTATAAGAGATTTTGTAGAAAGAAATTCAACCAATTCATACACAACTAAGCTTTAATGGTTATTCAATTTATTATTGTTCTTTTTAGTTTCTTCGAAATTATCTCTTCATAAAGAAGGTTATATATGGGGAATTTATGCCTTTACATTCAAATTCTTATTTTTCAAAGAAAATTCCCAGACTAGTGATAAATCGTTTATTAATGATTATTACTTAACGAATACTACACTTACCAAACGTTGAGGGTTATTTCTCTCATTCATTTGGTTTTTTCTCTTCGATGTTTATAACTCTTTATTTCTATCTGAATTATTTTTAGTAACAGAAGGAGATTTTTGTGGATATTATACTGATTTTAATAGTTGAGATCATGGGTCAATTGAAGCTAGATCACCATAGAAAACCTGGAAGCACTGGATGGCCATTTCCTTCTACTGTAGAACTTCTCAACAGTGCGCATCCGCGATCCCGCCTCGCACGAACGCATAACCTCTATATCCACAAGAACCCCTTCTGATATTAATCAACATATATTCAATGGTCACGGTCCTCAGGAAATATTTCCCAGAGTTCTAGTGAGAATCAATGACAAATAGAGTTTAACCGGGTCTGTTATGAGATAGTAACTCACTGAAGACAATGGTGGATATGTCGCTCAATTTTGTGGACTAGTTGAAGTTAGACATTAACACCGTTGGATGCTGGCCAAATCAGTGGTCTAGAGGTTAAGTGTTCGCTTGCGAGACTGACAGGTCCCGTGTTCGAATCTCACAAGTCGGGATGGTGGACGCGCACTACTGTGGAGTCTCATGCTAGGATGAAACTGTTGTTCAGTGCTCCCAGTTTTTCCATGTTGATCTACCTTCGACTGACTCACGATCTCATTTACTTAATTGTTTAATTCAAATAGATTTATGAAGAGTTTGGTTAGTTTCAAAATTTATTGTTGTGGATAAATTAAGAAAATCAAAGCATCCTACAATAAAAATAGAGTGAGACAAATATCAGTCCGTTTGTTCTGTCAACCAATAAAATGAGTCTACTATGTACTAGTCTGAATTATGACAAACAAATGTGTAACTTTATTTACTAAATACTTATCATAGGTGAACAAAAGTTATTGCTTGTTGTTTTATCAGTATTGTCATGGAGTCGAGTCTATAGAAAACCATAAACCTACTTTTGTTGACAGATTTGCTCATCAATAGCGTTCATGGATTTCAACAGTGGACATCCACGATCCCGCCTCGTAAGATTCGAACCCAGGACCTATCGGTCTGATGTGCGAACACTTAACCTCTAGACCACAGAGCCGGCATAATCTCATGACCTCAACTATTGGAATTACTATAATATCCACAAAACCCCTTCAAATATTTATTTGTCTAAGTAATGTAACATGTAAGTGAACATTATAAAAGAAAACTTGCCCGAAACAAAAACCCATTTGCTTATTTGATTCTGTTGACTTTCTCCTCGACAGGAGTAGTTACCTGTGTCATTAGTTATGACGTGTTCTATTCGTAATTCTGAATGCTTCCTGTAAATAAAGATAGAAACGTATAAACACCATTGTATTATGATGTGAATAATTGATGTAGACTAAAGATAGTATTTCATGGGGAATAAAAAAATTATATACTCTTGTGTATCTTCTGTAGCTGGATGTCAAATCTATTACATGATGTACTGAGATATGCTCTTTGTGGTAGGTAGGATATCAATTCATAGGACTATCGCTCCTGGAAAGGTCTAGGTTAAAACCATAGTATGGTTTCATTGAGTTACTTGTTTGAGCCTGTCAGCTATTTCACTAATCCTGAACGCTTCATCATCCCTCAGCATAAACTCAGAAGCCTAGCATGATGGCATTTTGACCTATAAAATAAGGGGGTTGATTACTACTCAGAGATCACTTGATGCAAATATCTCAGTCCTACAGGAGTCCGATGATTCATTGAGATGTTTAATCAGTTGCTTTGGTTATTTTAATTCACTGTTTTCCTTTTGATTAGTTCAGTAGCTTTAGAATGACTTTGACCTCCTTACAGTTTCACTTTCTAGATAATTCTGATCTTATGTTGGTTATCCTTAAGTAGTTTATATCATTCTAAAGATTATTCTCCTTAGTCATAGTAATGGTAAACTTGTATTTCTTGTATTTTGACTAACTTATTTACGATGAAAAATACAGACCATTAAACAACCTGCAGAGACATAATTTTCGAAGCAAAATGTTTAACAACTAGTAGATAAGTTAGATCACGTGGTATTCATACATTCTATGTTCGACCCAAATAAATCCAATTCAAAAGATTTTTATGCTTCCCAAACTAACTGGGTAAAAATAAACATCACCGATTATTATCATATCACTATAAATCGTAATTAATGTCTAAACATATGCATACATATACTCATTTATGTAAATTTGTTGACTGTGAAAAATGATTCTAGTCTTGCTAATCTCTCGTTGCTTGGATATGCTTAAAGTTTATTAAATTGTTAACCTCATTAAACCTCAATATCTTAAACAAAACATCATCATCATCACAACCTCAAAACAACAAAGACTACTCAACATTATATTCTGTTTAACAATCTTTAGTATTCAAATGAATATTTTATAGAAGTAGAATTATGAATGAATGTTTTTCTTTCTTTCAGCGATATCATTTGTAAGCCATAAATTGAAATAACAAAATATAAGGTAGAAAAAACGAGTATAAGCTAAATATACTATTTGAACAAGCATTGACATCAGTGTTACATAAATAAACCACACATCTTACACTATACGACTTAATGTTTTCTAAAGTTTACTACAAACTGATAAATTTTAAACAACTGTTTTGCCAATAATTCATCATAGACAATAATATATATTCCACGTCTTGTTCAACTACTGATACAATTTGATTTGTATTAATAAAAATACTTAATATCATTTATACACAACTAATATTTTACATTACAGACTAAATTGAAAATGTCACAGTGAAATTACACAATACAAAATAAGAAAAGTGTATACATCATTATATTCACTGGTAAAGCGAATATAGATAGGATTATTAAGTCAATTAGGTACATTGAAATATGCAGAAATATAATTAATTTTAAAATGCAACCACTTTACTAATCTAACCACCATTCATCTCTAAGTCATACGATATATAAAAATTGATTCACTTTAAAGTGGGTAAAAGTAATTAATACTCAAGTCACTGTCTTTCATTTAAGACAGTTATATTTAAAGTTAGATTCAACATCGGGGCTTTTGTTATCCTTTTCTTACACAGTAGTCAGTTTATTGTTGCATTATGTATACATATATTTGACCATTCACTTCGGCAGACTGTTTTTTCACTCATTCGATCAAAGATGGTTGGATTGTTATTGGTTAAGTACATACTGGTTGTGTATAAGGTATAGATATACACATTGTTTTTCTGCTTAACGCTTCAACAAGAATGACGTAATACTGCAAACTTTATAATGTTTTCTGGTTAAATTCTACTATAATAAATTGCCGTTTCAATGTTACATTAAATGAAAAACCCCGATTCCCGTAAATAGGGATTTGGATTTCTTTCTTTTGCTGATCTAATCACTACAGTATTTCATCACAATATTAAGTTGTAGATATTTATAAGTGAACAACTGAAGTAACACAGTTCTGTAGAAAATCACCAAGACCTAAATAGAGCGCTCTTGCAGCTTCAAATAATCCATGATAAAATGTGATGATCATTTATTATTGTTGGTTACATCTATCTTACTCCTAACAAACCTGAACAACTCTGGTCACCATTTCTCATAATAATATAATATATAATATATAATATAATATACATTATTCGTGATAAGGCTTAATGGAAGTTGACTTTTCTGCTGTTGGCATTCATCTTAAATTAAAATCAGTTGACCGTAAATTTATTTCTCAAGTTCACTGTACACCTTTCGAAAGGTCGAAATACAGGAGCCATACAGATACTGAAGTACAGATAATAGACTTTGCTATATCATTACGACATATTAACAAAACTTTACGGGCTTATTTTTCCGGGACACAATGGACGACAACCTCCACTTCGTATTTCTGAAGCTAGGTGTGCTTTGTTCACAAAATATAATCGAAATATATCTTATTAAAGTTAGGATGTTCTTTCAATTGATCTTCGTATGAATAAAGATCTCGCTTATATGTTCACTTCGTCAAATGTGTTTATTATAAATGACTGAAATACACACTGTAAAGTGTTTTTCCGTTATATGACGTAAGACAGTGGTACTTAGCTCTTCATGATATAAACAAATCGATTTTCAGTAATAAATAATACACGGATAGAACGCATACTGAAATTGTTCTGTACTGTATTTCATATGGAACTAGTTTTTTGAATGTCATACATTTGCTGAAAGCATGAAGCGAACTTTTTCACATAAGCAAAATGACAATAAACATGTTTATCTTCACTTTGGCGGAAATTATGAGATAAAAACATTTGGATATTTAAAACTAAAATCCAAAATAGAGTCACAATAATTTTGATTACATCAAGTTGATCACTGAAATGTCCAAAATGCACGACACGAATGTAAAAAAAGTCCTAAACAGAATAAAGCCTTCGATAAGAACAGATAATGAAAACGAACTTATTTAACTCCCCCCCCCCACACAATTTGTATAAACTCAATTCTGTTTAGAGCAGATATTAACAATGTTGCTGAAAAAGTGACTGCAACGTTTGAAATGTAACAGTTCAGCTTAAAAATATATAACAACGTGTGTATTCATTTGCATTGTAAATCTCCTTCATTATTCGCAAAACTAACATCATATCTAGACTACTTATTTAGTTCTATATCTACTCTCCTTCTTCCTCTTTCTTCTGATGGTTGACTGGATTATAAAGACCTCCACATCTGACGGGAAGCACGGAATACAATGAACAGCTCAGAATCAATTAGACGATTTGGACTTTGCAGACGACCTAGCCCTCCTATCCCATACACATGAATACAGATGAACACAACTAGTGTAGCAGCAGCCTCTGCATCAGTAGACCTCAACATAGACAAAGGAAAAAGCAAGACCTTCAAATACAACACGGAGAATACCAACACAACCACACTTGATCGCGAAACTGAGAGGTGTGGAAGCACCATCGATGAACAAGGAGGATCAGAAGCAGACGTAAAGGTGAGGGTTGGCAAAGCAATGGCTGCATTCCCACAATTGAAGAACATATGAAACTCAAAACAACGATCAACCAACATCAAAGTCAGAATCTTCAATACGAACGTCAACACAGTCCTACTGTATGGAGTTGAAACTTGGAGAACTACTACAACCATCATCAAGAAGGTACACGTATTTATAAATAGTTTTCTACGCAAGATACTCAACATCGATTGGCCGGATACCATCAGTAACAGCCTACTTAGGAGAGGACAAATCAGCTTCCAGGTGAAGAGTAAATTAGGAAAAGATGTTTGAAATGGATAGGACATACATTAAGGGAATCACAAAACTGCATCACGAGACAAGCGTTAACCTGGAATCTTGAAGGGAAACGGAAAAGAGGAAGGCCAAACAACACATTACGTCGGGAAATAGAAGCAGATATGAGAATGATGAACAACAATTGGATAGAACTAGAAAGGATTTCTCAGGACAATGGTTGGATTGAGAGTGCTGGTTGGCGGCCTATGCTCTTCCGCTGGGAGTAACAGGCGTAAGTAAGTAAGTGAGTAAATTAACTAGTTTTCTTGAATTTCTTGGAAAATTGTTTTAACAAAATGTAAATTTAATGACATTTATCAAATAAAATAAAATTTCGATCACTTACGTTGAAGATGTGATTTTAATATTCGGATGCAATGACATATTTATAGATTTATTATCTTTAAACCATTTAATTTGTGGATTTGTTTCACCTTGCACTTTGCATTTCAGAATAAGACGACGACCTTCGTGAATCTCCATAACACCATGAGTTGCTGTGTGAATTTACAAAAGTTAATGGTTGAATCAATCACGTTTATATGATATTTTCTGAAAAAGAAATATGATTTCTCTGTAGTAAGAATAGTGAATAGAATGTAATATTTGTGAAAATATGTTACTTTGTAATGAAGTGACAAACTATTAACCGAATCTACGTGATATTGGTTATGGCACCAGGATGAATGAATTCTATCGATCATGTCTTAGTATTAATCCAATTTATGCGATATCCCATGAAGTATTTTAAGATGTTAGTTGATTGGAGATATTCTGTACACGAAACGCGGATTCTAAGTTTCTTGATAGAACTGATGCTCCGTGTGAAGTTCAAATTTACATCACCCAACCTCACAGTCTTATACGTTATATGTGAGCTATCTGGGTCACAAGTCACTTGCAACCATCTAAAAAGTCATTAGAATTTAGGCAAATATAACGTTATTGCAATTATTTGCTACTAATTAATAACCATCATCAATAGATCATAGTAATGTTTTTCATATTTAAATAACTGCATAGAATTCATTATTTTTACGATGCTTTGAGATTACCATATCATTTTTGCACACAATTCGAAAAAGTATAGTTCAGGTGTGTCCCAGTTACTAATAGTTTCAATACAGTTCACCCGTTCATAAAACTCACATGGGAGAAGGAAAATGGGGGTAGAATAGTCTTTCTAGATGTTCTACTTACAAGGAGGAAGGATGGGTCGCTAAGAAGAAAAATAAACAGGAAAATTACCTGGATGGGCCAATATACAAACTTTCCTAGTTTTGTTCCTCTACAATACAAAAGGAACCTTATTAAGACACTGCATCATAGAATCAAGACTATATGTTGTCTGGATACGACTGAAGATAAAACAAAGGCAATATACACAACCCTGAAGGAAAATGGATATCTCGAGAAATTTATGAATAAAAACAGCCAATAAAAGACAGCATAAAGAATGTCTAACTGTAAATAAAAAGCCTCTGTATATACGCTTACAATTCAGAGGCGATGGACCGAGTGGAATGCTAAGACTTAAGTTAAGCTGATCAATTCAAAGGACTTTGAATGCAGATAAGCGACAAATAATGTTCTCCACACGTCCAATAATCACTCCGAGGTTGAAAGATAAAATGCCTAGACTAGCTACCTCTTTCTGTATCTTTCAATGGAACTGCTCCTCTGGAGCAAGTTATGTTGATTGATGTTCTAGGAATTTGTACATTCGGGCTCGTAAGCACCTCCCCGTGTGGTTAAGCAAATGTGTAGTCAAAACGGTTAACAGCTCCATTTCAGACCATCTAGTTCAGACAGGACATACAGTCAACATGGAGCAATCTTTTGCAATAATCTGTCGTGTTAACAGCAGTCTACCTAATTCCGTCAGACTGCGAATCCTACAGACGGCTGAAGCAATTGCTATTCGGATCAAAAAGCCAGAGCTTTGCATCCAAAATAAATACGTTCAGCCACTTCTTTTACCCTGGCCAACTAGTTAATAGTCAATCTTATGGTGACGTAATTTGATTAATGTTCATTTTATGTGCAGATCGAATGCTATCGATCATGTTGCAATGTGGCCACCAGTCTAGGTGACTCGACACTGCGGGCACTATGTATTGAGATTAGATGGTGGTTGGAGGTAGTCAACAGGAAACCCTGGACCCGGGTTTCGTGCTACTTGGCACTCGTCAGCAAGGTGTACCTGTAATCTTGAGGGAACTGGTGCTCCCTGGCGGATTCGATCTCGTGTCACCCAGCTTCACAGTCAGAGACGTTACCACTGAGCTATCCGAGCCGTGACTAACCTCCTGTAGGACTGAGATGTAATCACAATTGATTGATCACTGGGTGGTGATCAATCTCATGCTTGTCCCAAACTTATTATAGCTTAAATACATCACCTTTTTCAGATCAACTTCATCTTCTCATTGTTCTATCGAAATTAAAGGTAGTCCCACCTACTGTATCTATGAAAAAGCTTACTGATAAAACATACTTAAGATCATATACCTTGGATTCTCTTTGAGGGATCTTTACTAATGTGTATTCCTAATCATTGTATGCACATTATGAATTTACCTATTTGAAATCAATCAAGATAAAATACATATGTACAAATGTACATAAAGACGTGAATATTTACATTACATTAATTCATCTCGTTTCATTTAATTGATAAGTGGTATTGTACATCGTTTTAAATCTTATCCATCACCAATCAGCCATTAACCGGCATTGGCAATAAAGTTGATTAGATATATAAGAATTTTATTGAATACAATTGTTCGGTATAAGAGCAAGAACAAAGATTCTAGCAGAATAACATAAATATTCTTTCACATTGGGTATATATTTACAATATTCAGTCTACTAATTTCATTTACACCCATGTCATACTTTGTGAATATTTCTTCAATATAAACCCTCTAATGTAAGCAATTTAAACCCATTATGTAATTATTATCTCTTTAAATACCACAGGTTGTAAGCAGCTGACGAGAACCTACGAAATAAAATGAATTCATGTTATTCTGCTAGAATCTTTGTTCTTGCTCTTTTCAAAATGACAAAGGGAACCATGTGTATGAAATGTTCGGTATAAGTTTATTATAGAAATCAAATATAAGCCAATATCATAATTGCAACTATTTATATTTATATATAAGATCCCGATCTCAGTGTTGCATGCGAATAAGCTTAATATAAATACTTTTTAATGACAGATTCGTGAATACATTCAACATGGCCACTAATATTAATAACAACATATTTCTGATAGTTGAATGAAGGCAGTCATTAGTAAACCTATAATTCAGGTTTTATGCCAGTATGTGTCAGAGACATTAATCTGTGATATTATGCTTTCCATGGTTTTGGAAATGATGTCATTCAATGTCACAGTCAGAATTATTACGGGCTTCTCACACTGCTGGGATGTTTACACTGGTTTACCAATTAGTGTTGACCAATGTTATGTTTTAACTCCGCCTGTAGCTCTTATAGGGTTACTGCCGGTCCCAAGCCCGGGTAAAGGAGGAGGGTTGGGCATGGGGTTAGCGTCCCCATCCCGTAGAAAACTAACTCGCTAAAAAACGCTTACCAGAAAAAATAATCCAAACCATTTTAACTCTGCCCTGGGAGTTAGAAGGTCTTCATTTAGAAGAATTATGACGCTTCATGGTGAGAGCCGAGTTCCTTCAGAAGCCACGAGGCCGATGCCCCTTCTAACAACCAGAGCAAAAGTTTTTATAGGTACATGGAACGTTCGAACAATGTGGGAAACCGGGAAGACAAGTCAAAAAGCAACGGAAATGAGGAGATACAACTTAGCAGTACTGGGAATCAGCGAAACCCACTGGACCCAAGCTGGACAGAAAAGGCTAGCTACGGGAGAGATGCTGCTATAGTCCGGTCACGAAGAGGACAATGCTCCACACACTCAGACAGTCGCTCTTATGCTGTCCAAAGTAGCATGAAATGCAATCTCACGGATCCAGAATCATCAAAGTATCATTCAATACAAAGGAGGGGATCTTAATGAATATTATCCAATGTTATGCACCCACTAATGATAGCAACGACGACATTAAAGATCAGTTCTACGATCGGCTACAGTCAATCATTGAGAAATGCCCAAGGAGGGACCTAACTATTCTGATGAGAGATCTAAATGTCAAAGTCGGAATAGACAACACTGGATATGAAGATATTATGGGACGACATGGATTGGGAGAAAGAAACGAAAATGAAGAAAGATTTGTAAATCTATGTGCATTCAACAAATTGGTCATAGGAGGCACAATATTGCCACACAAGCGTATACACAAGGCTACATGGATCTCACCGGACCACACTACAGAGAACCAGATAGATCATATTTGCATCAACAAAAAATTCCGAAGGACAATCGAAGATGTGAGAACTAGGAGAGGTGCTGACGTAGCTTCAGATCACCACCTAGTTGTAGCCAATTTAAAACTGAAGCTAAAAAAGAACTGGACAAGTGGACAAACAGCACTACAAAGGTTCAATACAGCCTTCCTTCGAGATACTGTCAAACTCAATGAATTCAAGATAGCTCTCAACAACAGGTTCCAAGCCTTACAAGATCTACTGAAAGAAGAAGAAACTAGTATGGAGGACAACTGGAAAGGCATCAAGGAAGCATTAACTTCAACGTTTCAATAGGTTCTGGGCCTAAAGAAACACCATCATAAAGAATGGATCTCTACAGAAACACTGGACAAGATCAAAGAAAGGAAGAACAAGAAGGCAGCAATAAACAACAGCCGAACACGAGCAGAGAAAGTCCAAGCACAAGCTGAACACATAGAAGCAAACAAACAAGTGAAGAGGAGCATTAGAGCCGACAAGAAGAAATACGTGGAAGAACTAGCAACGACGGCAGAAAAAGATGCAAGGGAAGGAAATATGAAACAGCTTCACGATACAACGAAGAAACTAGCAGGGAAATACAGTAAACCAGAGAGGCCGTTCAAGGACAAAGAAGGCAGGCCAATCACTGAAATTCAACAACAGCGGAACAGATGGGTAGAATATTTCGAGGAACTCCTGAATAGGCCGGCTCCAATGAATCCACCGGACATCGAAGCAGCGCACACAGGTCTTTCTATAGATGTCAACCCATCAACGACGGAAGAAATTAGAATGGCCGTCAGACAAATCAAGAACGGGAAAGCAGCAGGACCCGACAACATACCAGCTGAAGCACTAAAATCAGATATCAAAGTAACTACAAACATGCTTCACGTTCTATTCAAAAAGATTTGGGAGGAGGAACAAGTGCCGATGGACTGGAAAGAAGGACACCTCGTCAAGATTCCAAAGAAAGGAGATCTGAGCAAATGTGAAAACTACAGAGGCATTACACTACTGTCAATACCAGGGAAAGTCTTCAACAGAGTGTTGCTGAACCGGATGAAGGATGCAGTAGACGCCCAACTTCGAGATCAACAAGCTGGAGTCCGTAAGGATCAGTCGTGCACAGACCAAATTGCGACACTACGGATCATCGTCGAGCAATCAATTGA